TGGTAAGTTTGAGCCGGACCCCTGCTATCGATTTATTCTTGAGACGAAGATATGCGGCTGTTCGTTTCCAATGTGTCGTGATTTGCTCCGCTGGCTACTGAAGACTGCAATTTCCTTGTAAAAACTAGGTGGAGCAATTTGTAGGTATTGCTTTAGTAAATTGAAATGCCGTGGCTGTATCTAATAACCAGTATAACGCCTTTTGGGGCGACTAACGGAGCGAGCGAGAGGGTGAGCCTTGCACGTGCGAAATTTCGAGGGGGTACCTCCAGCTGACTTGTGCACGGCACCCTACTAACCGGTCTCTAGCGATGTGCCAAATTTGAGCACAATCGGCCCAGCCGTTCTCGAGATCTGGAAGCGGTACCCTGCACGTGCGCACGTGCAAAATGGGTCCCAACTGACTTGTGCACGGCACCCTACTAACTGCTCCGTAACCGTGTGCCAAATTTGAGCGCAATCGGTCCAGCCGTTCTCGAGATCTGGAATCGACCCGTGCACGTGCGCACGTGCAGCAGCACCCCAACTCTGGCACATGGATATGCATTGCCTAGTGAGTGCCTACCTACATGCCAACTTTCAGCGCAATCGGCCAAGTAGTTACCGAGATATTGCAACAATTGCAAAAGTGACACCTCTTCGTTTTGCACGTGGCACGTGCATAAGGGGTCACCCACATGCATCGGGAATAGCCCAATACTTGGTAGAAGGAATGAAGCTACCCTATAAAAATTACCGCATGTAAATCGGTCAAGTGGTTGCTGAGATATAAGCGTCGCAGAATCGTGCCCACGGCCGGATACTCAGAAATTTCCGTTATTCTACGTAAGACTCCGCTTGCTTCGCTCGCTCGTAACCAGTATAACGCCTTTTGGGGCGACTAACGGAGCGAGCGAGAGGGTGGGCCTTGCACGTGCGAAATTGCGAGGGGGTACCTCCAACTGACTTGTGCACGGCACCCTACTAACTGGTCTCTAGCGATGTGCCAAATTTGGGCACAATCGGCCCAGCCGTTGTCGAGATCTGGAAGCGGCACCCTGCACGTGCGCACGTGCAAAATGGGTCCCAACTGACTAGTGCACGGCACCCTACTAACCGGTCCCTAACCGTGTACCAAATTTGAGCGCAATCGGTCCAGCCGTTCTTGATTTCTGGAATCGACCCCTGCACGTGCGCACGTGCAGCAGCACCCCAACTCTGGCACATGGATATGCATTGCCAAGTGGGTGCCTACCTACATGCCAACTTTCAGCGCAATCCGCCGAGTAGTTACCGAGATATTGCAACAATTACAAAAGTGACACGTCTTCGTTTTGCACGTGGCACGTGCATAAGGGGTCACCCACATGCATCGGGAATAGTCCAATGCTTGGTAGAACTCGAAGGAATGAAGCTACCCTACAAAAATTACCGCGTGTAAATCGGTCAAGTGGTTGCTGAGATATAAGCCTCGCAAAAACGTGACCACGGCCGGCCGGTCGGCCGGCCGGCCGCTCATACTCAGAAATTTCCGTTAATCTAAGGAAAGACTACGCTCGCTTCGCTCGCTCCGTAACAATGTTGGTATCGTAGCGGATGGTATTGAGTACAATTCTAGGGGAATTGAGAGTCACTTCCGCTCCGCTGCTTGTTCAATAATTCCTTATAGGTAACTGATAATTTTTCAAATTTTATTTTTGTGGTTTCTACAGCTCTAGGTTTCCGCTGTTGTTTCGAAAAGATGGAAGTTTTACTCAAAATAAAATCTTTTGTTCGATGATCGATTGTTACTTCTTTTTACCCAGCAATTTTCTTGATTGACTCTAAGCAGCAAGACGCGTCAAACAATTTGTGATTTCGTCCTCCATCTTCTCATCAATTCATCGCCGATTGGTATGGCCCCGACCTTCGCCGGTCGCCCACTGCGCCTCGTTCCTCGTTCTGTCCGGGGCAGGTCGCGGGCCGATCTCAGTGTTTACGGAACTGGTATAGCTCTCCAGACGATTGAAGTCTGGATTATCCGCTCCTCAAAAGACTCGAGATGTTGTTGGAGTTCCATTGAATGGATTAGTTGAGTGAGCTGTCAGTGCCCCCGCCCCCTCATGAAGCAGGGGTGGGGTGAGGGGCGGATGGGGCAGTTCCGTGTTTACGAGATGGGGCTCTGTGGGCCATTTGGGTCACCGTGCTGTCAGCCGTGCGGTCGGGAGGCCCGGAAATCGGGTCAGCGGGGTTTATCAGATCGGAACCTGGAAAACCGGGGGATATTCCTAGAAAGCAGCTGACACTGGGCGGTGGACAGCCGCTGGGGCTCCCAAGTCCCAATGTTTGTTGATACTATTTCATGTCGAATATTTTTCACGTCGAAAATGTTACGAAGAGCGGGACCGTATGCCCGATCGATCTTACGGCGCTTTGAGCGATAGTAAAACATGGGAGCTTGCAGGAGTTTGTATCCCTTGTTCAATACCATACAGTGCATTTGGTCTCTGAAACTGCATGAGCAGGAAGGGTCAAGGATGTTACGTTTATGGTTATTTAAATCCTGTGCTCATACACAAGAACACCAAGGCCGTTTCGCATCACCACACTCGTTGAATGACCGTTGTCTGTGACTGTGAAACAGCTGCAATTATTATCAGCCCCCAGACCCCAGCTACCAAGTTTCCTCTCCTTCTGTCCATGGAGAGGACAAGAATAGCATTATTAGCTCTTCTCTTGTCATTTGGTCTTTCTTGTCTTCTGAAGGGGCGGGGAGCGGCAGATTAAGGTCACAGATACGCCGGCTCCGGGTAGCGGAGACGCTCGGTCGGCAGGGTGGATTTGCATCTGTTTTGGTGACCCGATCCATTGAGGGTTCAAAAAATTTACACAAACCTGTCGGGTGCTCGACGGTTTGTGACGGGGCTCGAAAGTAGCGCCGAGATTGAATCTGAATGCAAATGTTTGCCATTTGCCTGGCGAGTATCGATTCTGTTTCTGACATACCTACGCTCATCGAGTGGTGTTGCTTCCACTTCAGCCGTTACAACGTCTCTGTTTTCGTTTGGCCTGCCTTATCGACATTCGTCATCAGTGGCAAATATTCTATGCTTGAAGTTGCCTGTCGTTTTTTGTGTGTGCTGTGAACTTACCTTTCCTTGTCAACTCACCTTGTCGGGTTCCATCCACTACCACCAGTCGGCAAGGAAAAGGCTCGTTGGATGGAAGGACGGGAGGAACCCTGCTTCATATGGCGCGCCAGTTGTCCATCTCAGAACATATCATCATGACATACACGCACTTGCCTGGAGTGTTGCGTCACCATTGAGACTGACATTGACCACATGGTGTTCTCACAAAAGAATAGCAAATAGCAATAAGAGTGTTCATACAACTTACACATACTCGACAAGTCTATCCGGAATAGCTCCTACTAATCTGTGCTTAAATGACTGAAGGTCTGGGGCATACCTATTACCTATCCAATACGCATACCTGAAAAGAGTGAATGCTGCGAGAAGCTTTAACGCTGCCTCTATTTCGTCTTTTATCTCTCTGTTTACACTCTGTCATGTTCGACTCTGCTCGGACCTTGATATTTGGCGCCGGATACCGTGCTTGCTTGCCTGCCTTTGCTTACCGTGTAATTTGTGAAATGTCTTTGAGCCATGCTATTGGCTGTTGAGTTGGCGATTTTGGCGATCACTCGGTCTCGGAAGCGCTTACTCTCAGTACACAGTGCACAAGTGACATTTCTTCTGATGGCCATCGATCCTCGCTATTGCCTTGTGCACCACTATTGCATCTCCACAAAGTTGTGAGACTTCCTAGTATATTGCGTTGCATTGGCTGATAAAAACCTCGCGAAAGTGCTCGAACATACTCACCAGGGGACGTGGCAAGCCTCCTGCCGCTCCCAGCTTTCTAATTAGTCTGCAAGAGCAGCCTCAAACATGAGTCGAAAACTCGTACCAACTATCCTTTTGCAAAAGGATAGAACTTTATAGCTGTTCTTTGCATTCACATTTACTTCTTATTACATTATTATCATTTATCATAGTTAGTAGTTACACCGACTTTGTATAATGCCCACGTTTGAATCTATATGAAATCCATGCCTATTGCATTTTTATACTCTTGTGATGACGTCTGCTGATGAGTGTGATGTAGGTACTTAACATTTGGTTGCATGCACTTACGTTTCTCCATGCACAGCATTGATCACGTGCATTTCAAAAAGCCCTGCCCTTTCCGGTGCTGGCATCTCCTGCTGCATGTCCGATCCAGTTTAGATATTGAGTCGACGTCGACCAGAGTGGCCGGCTCATGAGCTGGGGAAAATCAGCAGACATAGCCCGGTCCAGTACCCCCTACTAGCGGGAGGGGAGGGGTGGCCAGACTGTGGTCGGCGTACCTTGCAGACGGTTGTGTGAACTGATACCTATGGGCTGCGCCTGTGGACGTTAGCACATTTGAAATTAACATTTTTATGGACACCGGTTCGCCTTTGCCATGTGTGTGTTGCTGATTACCTCCGTGACATTGCGAGATTTTCCAGTCCACTGTGTTGAACTGACCGTGAAACTGTGTTGAACCGTGGAAAGCCGTGCGCGTCTCGCCTCATTGCACCAGCAGAGATCATTGAACGGGTTGTCAGTAGTTCGCTTTGAACCATGGCTGCTCGGTTGTTGACTTGGTTGTAGCGCCTTGTTTTTTTTTAGCATTGTTTCTGAACTGTCTCGCCAATCCCAAGATATATTTTTCTTCACTTTGGAGCGTGTTTATTCGCTCTGTCGGGCAGTTGATTTGCCTACACTTCCGCTTGATTCTATTCGACAATTTGCATGTGTGTGCTGCTCCTCGACCTTTCAAGCACTGTTACGATTGCACACAAGAATGGTATATGTGTGCTTTGGATCATTAACTATTTTTGGCGTGACGTGTGGATTGATGTATTTCTTACATATGCACGCATTTTGAGTGTATGCATAATCTTCTCGCAAATGCTCATCTGGATGCGTCACACAGGCCACTGTCATCATGATCAAAATGTATATTTACACATGTAAGCAATGCTATTCGCATATTGCACATATTTACACATACGACACAAGGAATGTACATAACAAAATGACAATGACACTTAGCAAAAGTTTATCATCCTCCCCTGATCACGAAAAGTTGTCTCCTCCGTAGTCTTTGACCGGATTCTTCTTCGTTCGGTTGAAGTCGGGTGCTAGTAAAACTGGCTTTTCCGTTGGCCGCACACGGCAGCAGGCTGCAAAACAAGCACACCGTTATTATAATAGCACTGCAAGCTGATGTCTTTGCTCGAATTTAGACATTGCTTGCATTTTTAATTGCTTATCATCGATTCACTGACACATGTTTCATGCCTACAATTTCTGATTTCACTATGGGCGGCTTGCTTGAAAATATCGAGTGGCATTCTGAAATCTGGATCATAGACTGCGCCGCAAAGCCGTAATGTAATGCGGTACAGTCTACCTACCGCCTTTGGAGAATGAGTAAAGCATGCTAAGGATTCACAGCAGAATGCATTTTAACTTTTAAGGATTTGCACTGGGGCCGATGCTTTTGATTTTCCACTAGCAAAAGAATAAGGAAGTCTCCTTTATTTTGAATATCGGAACATCGGAACCATCAAGACCCACTTCAAACTCACCAGGTCAATATCCATGTGAGAGGGTAGCCACGGGCTGGGCGCACGACGGCACGTCGTCCGGCTGCCACGTGCCGTCCTCGTGGCACGTGGCCAAGAGGAAGCTGGCTCCCGACGGAAACACCATCCCCGTGGCGGCGCACGTGTAGAGCGACAGAGCCCCGATGGTCAGGTTTCCGTCAAAGTGTTGTAGGACTCCGGCCGGTGCCGCCGGGGGAGGGGAGGAGCATTCCGTCGGTGGGGCTGGAAATACACAGATATGACGTCAGTGGTGGAAACAGCGGTCAGCGGAGTAGTGGTGAAAACAGCAGAGCATTCAGGGCAAAGGGAGCAGAGCAAAGGGACGGTGGATCCATCGAGCCTGAGTGAGCAAGGGCCTGCTAAATTTGGGTCACCGAAGCAATTGGCATCCTTGTCCATTCCCTAGGTCAATTGGTCGGTGACTTTTAAATTAAAACGGGCCCTTTCTCGGTCAGGCTTGATGGATCCACCGTCACTTTGCGCGGTACTTTTAAGACAGACTGTACACAGATACATATGACGTCAGTGGTGGAAACAGAGCATTTCGTTGGTGGGGCTGGAAGTACACAGATCTGACGTCAGTGGTGGAAACAGCAGGGCATTCCGTCGGTGGGGCTGGAAATACACAGATATGACGTCAGTGGTGGAAACAGCGGAACAGGCTGTATCGTACAATGTGACAAACAACAATGTGACAAATTGTGACAAACAACTTTTCATCACTAATCATCACATATCACAAAGGGTGCATTTCCAAGGGCGTTTTATCTTACACCTGCCATTCTCAAGGTCGACAATCGCTCCGTCGTTGATTCTGCTGTTCCATTGCGGTATTTGTTATTGTCGCCGCACGGCCTTTATTGTTTCCCGCTATTTATTTATGGAATTTCTCCGTATAACACCTCGCCTACAACACACTCTGGCAGTGTCTCCGGTTATATGTCTCACTAATGTCTCAATGCCTCACCTACGACGCACTCTGGCAGTGTCTCCGGTCACATGTCCCAGCAATGTCTCCTCAATGCTTCACCTGTGACACACTCTGGCAGAGTCTCCGGTTATATGTCTCACTAATGTCTCAATTCCTCACCTACAACGCACTCTGGCAGTGTCTCCGGTTATATGTCTCACTAATGTCTCAATTCCTCACTTACAACGCACCCTGGCAGTGTCTCCGGTTATGTGTCTCAGTAATGTCTCAATGCCTCACCTACGACACACTCTGGCAGTGTCTCCGGTCACATGTCCCAGCAATGTATCACTTGTCTCAGTATCCTCACCTACGACACAGTTTGGCAGTGTCTCAGTTATGTGTCTCAGTGATGTCTGAATGTCTCACCTGTGACACACTCTGGCAGTGTCTCGGGACTCCACAGGCCGTCCTCGCCGCAGCGGGCTGCTGTGATGGCCCGGCCGTCTCCAAAGGTGCCCGAGGTACACACGTAGTACACCAGCGCCCCGATGAACCGGTCTCCTCCGTCCGAGACCAGAACGTCGGCCGGCGCCGACGGCGGCTCCGACACACACACAGTGGGGGGCGCTGTAAGGGGGAGGGGTCAGGTCACGGATGGTCCATCAGGCATAGCGTGCAGGTCTGCTTCATTTTGAACAATGAGCAAATGATATATAATGTTTGGACATGCATGATCATTGATCAGTTCCTGTTTGTCGCCTCACAAACCCCGGTCTGAGGCTTGAGCATAAAAAATGAAAACATGCTCAAAGGAATAAAAATGGAAGCTGACAACTTTTTCCACGTCATGACCTTGACCATTTGACATACCTGGAACACAGTTTGGGATGACGGCCGGAGACCAGGTGCCTCTGACGTCACAGGTCGCGGTCACCATCACCTCTGGGATGCCTTCAAAGACCAGACCCGGCTGACAGATGAACTGGATCTCGGTCCCCACCGCACTGCCGCTGCCTGAGGGCATATGAAGGGGTCACGTGAGGTCGTATGAACTGGGCCTCGGTCCCCACCGCACTGCCGCTGCCTGATGCACACAGAGGGTCAAGTGAGGTTGCAGGTGTGTTAAAAAAAGGAATGAATGAGATGGTTAAGGACGCTTATGGAATTCAATACTCTGAATCAATTATTTGGCTCCTGCTGGAATGGGAAGGAGGAGTAAGAGATTTAACTTGCTATCCACATTCGTAAGGAATTTGAGCTCTAGCCCGCTGACATCTTACCTGGTATGGGTGCTGTGATGACGGCTCCTCCAGACGGTACCGTAGGTGGCGCCACCGGACAACGGTCCACTGAAATGGTAATAGCACGTCAGTACACACTACACTGTTATGCATCTCTCAATTCAAAATAATGATCGGAGATCAGAGTCAGCGATTCCAAGATCAGAGATCACAATCCCATTCTTACCAAGACAGCAGATATACCACACTGTTCAGTCCAGCGAATCTTACCGAGACAGCAGGTGCCGGTGCCTGCCGGCCTCTTGGGACAGCGGGCGCCCTGTGTGCCATTGAAGGCCCGACAGGCGGCTGAGGCCACGCAGTAGCCCGTGAACCCGGACGGGTCTCGGCATGCCTCAGCCTTGGAGAGAGCTGAAAAACGGGTGTACAAGGATCAAGAGACGCCTTGGAGAGCGCTGAAAACAGATAGAGAAGGGTCACAGTACAACACAGAGAGCGCTGAACACCGGTAGACAGGTGTCATGGAATAACTCCGCCTTGGAGAGCGCCAAAGACGGACAGCTGCGGGTTACGAGACTCCTCTGCCGTTTTTATGGAACCTTTCAGCTAAACTCGCATTTGTGTTCTGTTCGACTGACAGCGAAAGGTCAATGTTTGCTCCCTTAAAAATCGTCGATATTATAAGCTTGGTTGTCTTCACTCACCTTGGTTGGTGAATTTCCGCGGCGGGCTGATGTTGAAGTTCACGAACGACCTTCCGTCCGTGTCCGGATAGGTCGTGTCGTGAGGCAGGGACGAGCTCAGGCCCAGCAGAGCCGTCAGGTAAACGAAGATCCGCATCTTGGAGATGTGTGGTTCGCTTATCTGTAAAAATATAAAGGTTCAGGTAACTACAAAGCTGAGTACATAATAAATGAATGAATTGAAATAAAATGCCTTCTACATACGCCATGACTCACTTGTCCCTTTCTATAACTCTGTACCACCTCGCCGCTCCTTGTCTCCTACCTTCTCTCGTCCAGCGTCGGACCGCGAATGGCCCCCTCCCCGGCTCTCCTTGTCTGTCGTTGGGTTGAACGGTGCCCTGGGGCAGTGCCTGAGGGCACAGCTGAGGGGTGGGGAGGGACAGGTGGGGTCATGGATTAAGGTCACCAGTAGACTGGCTCGCGAAAGGAAACTAGGACCTATTTTGGTCAGCAGCAGCCGGACAAGATCTTTAAAAACAGCCATAAACGTGCGCTAAGACGGGCTAGATCGGGGTAGATTTGGGTCGTGTCTCCGACCCGTGGGAACAGCGCACCTCCAATCCATTTTGTAAAAGGATGCGTTATCAGGAAAATTGACGCTACTTGATGTCGCGTCCATGTCTTCTATCGTTGGATCTAGCTTGCCTTTGAAGCTCATCTGTCGCTTTTGTTGCTCAGGACCCGTGGGCTGTAGGTATGAGGTATTCCGCTGCGTTTGGCGCTGGGTTGGCTCGCCAGAGTCTGAACGCTCGAATAGGGGACGGTCTCGTTCAGACTGGTGTTTGATTCATCTGTGATTGAATCGATTGGATTGAATCAAACAAAATTTGTTGAATCAAAAAGGTTTGATTCACCGTCAGGATTGTTTGATTCACAAGCCATGATTGAATCAAACGCATTGGGAATCAGGGTTGATTGAATCAAAAAAATTAATGATTCATGAACTTAAAAAAATTGAAGTGAACGAACATAGTTCATTATCAACAAATATTAACACTACTGCCATTACATGACAACAAAAAGAACACAACAAATACAATACTATCCCTGATATTTTGCATATTTTATTTTTTAATTGAATCAAAAAAGAATCATTCAAAAAGAAATTGGCCAAATCAAACGTGAATCATTCCTTTTATTGTTTTTTTATTCTCTGAATCAAAAGGAATCGATTCACCAATTTTTTTGAAGGAATCAGACGGTGATTGAATCAAACAAAAATCAAACTAATCAATGATTGAATCGATCCAAAAAAGGTGAATAAAAAACCAGTCTGGTCTCGTTGACACGCCAACTCGAGACGGTGATGCCAACCAGTGGCGCAGCCAGAACTCTGGCGACGGGGGTGAGAGACGTTCGCGATGGGCCCCCCAGCAAAGTGGGCCCCCCCTCAACCTAATGGGGGCCCCTTACCAACAGCGAAAGTTCAGATCATTGTCCTGATCATTACCAGCCAAATCGGGGAAAAGGACAAATATCTCTTGATCTGAAGAGGCACGTAAAAAACAACAGTATATTTACAGAAACACGACCATTCTGCCCATATTTGACGGACAGCGTGCAATTGATGGCCAGCGGCCACTCAAATGGTCGGGCTAGGTCAAAAAGCTTTTAAAAAAGCTCAACATCAGTTTTTCGACTATTACTTTTGATATAGGAGACGAGGTAGAGTAATGAAATTGTCTTGAAAGTGTTAGATCATACATACGGATGAGTTTATGACCACCATGAACTTCTCAAGTAGGTAAGGGCATGACCTTGTTCTGCGGTCACATTTTGAAGTTGAACTTTTTATGTGAAATTATAGGTGTTAACATTTGATGCATGTTAACGAGAGAATGATGACAAAGTAAATGTCGCATAATTTTTCTCACCAAAGTTCTTGCAAAAGTTTTTAGCAAAACTATTTTGGTGAAATTCGACTATTTAGATGGTTTTGCCCTCTGCTCTGTAGCCAAACCATTGACATGAGGCATTGAGGTCAAATCTTAAAAGCGACAGCGTTTTGAAAGGCCTATCGAATGAGTTGTTCCGCGAAGCTCTAGCTCTTTGGTTCACGAGTTATACGGTTATTTGTGAAAATATAAAAACTAGAATTTTTTTTCGTCGTAATCTTGTCTTTGTGTTTAGCATAATTTTATCAAAATTTCATCTTAGATGACCTCAGCGATGACCTAATCGAAAAATGACCTCTACGATTCTGAAGCATCCTACAGATATCTGTTGCTTTTCTCGTCTTTCTAGCCTTCTTAAATTATGATCGGGTCGACGGGTTTGGCCGATACGCCCCCCCCCCCCCGCCCATGGCTGATTGCATGCGTTAGAGAGCTATCGAACCCACTTGCAGCGCGCTATAGCTTTATATGTCCTCGAGTGTCGAAATAGGCGAAACTTTTCCTTCGATGAACATGATGACGTGGGTTTCCGTCTGAACTGCAACATGACTGAAGTAATTTCTCCATGATTTTCGACGCTCTTTAGAAAGCCGCCTACCGCCGCACTTGTCGCTACGTGACCCTGGAGTCAGGTTAGAAGGGAATATTCAAACACCCCTCAGGGGCGTAAAACTGGAAAGCCTGGGGCCCTGCTCTGCGGGGCGCGGTTGAGCTAGGCTAGAGCCAGCTCGGGATGTTTACAAGCCCACGTAAAGTCCTCAAGAATCTGCATAGAGGCACAGGCCTTCCAAGACTTGGGGGGTTAGCTATCAACAATCGACATGGTCTTTTGAGACCTGCGTGGTGGCTATCAGAGGTCGGTGGGCACTGGGCCCCTCAAAAGCCGGTGCAGGAGCCTCAGATGTCAGTTTGGAGCCATCATGGACCGGTGTGGAGTCCTGATGAATACCTAGGCGTCAAACCCCTAGACGTCAGGGTGGGGCCGGGCGGTGAGGCAGGCACAGGCCTGAAGAGAAGAGGAATTTTCAGATGTCGGCTTGGCATCTTAGGGCCCTGCATGGCCTTCTCAGAGGCTGACATATCGTACCGCGGGACCTCCATGAGCCTCAAAAACCTCTATGGGCCCCCTCACGCTTGGGGTATGCTTGCTTCCTAGTTCCTGAAGCATAAAATCTCTGAGTCTTGAGATGGGCCCATTAGACATGAACTGGGCCATCAATATACATGTGGTGAGTTGACCTATATCAAACATGATACCGGCTCAATCAGGATTGGGATAGGCCCTCTCAGACCCAGACCAGGCACGGAGTACGGAACGGACCCTCCCACTAGTGATGTCAATTACGGAAAATCGGAATACCGATACCAAACCAAATACCAACCAAAACCGTGGAGAAATACCGAAACCAAACCAACTTGGGAACATGAGGAAAATACCAACTTTTTACCGATTTCTTAGCCTCTTAACCATTAGCAAGGGTTCATGATACCAACAAAATACCAAACACATTAGGATTGAAATACCAAATACCGAGTTGGTATCGGTTTGGTATCGGTATACCAAAAAGTTGGTACCCGATTGACATCTCTACCTCCCACACATAGGATGATCATTTCATTCCTGGGATGAGTCTTCTCAGGCCTGAACTGGGCCCTCTCAGACCTGAAATGGGCCCCTCTCAGGGCTGAAGTGGACCCTCTCAGGCCTCAAATAGGTCCTCTAGGGCCTGAAATGGGCCCTCTCAGGCCTGACATTAGCCCTCTCAGACCTGAAATGGGCCCCTCTCAGGCCTCAAATCGGACCTCAAGGGCCTGAAATGGGCCCTCTCAGGCCTGACATTAGCCCTCTCAGATCTGAAATGGGCCCACTCAGCCCGGAAATGGTCCCTATCATGTCCAAAAAAGGGCCCCTCATACCGTAACTGGGCCATCTCAGGTCTGAAATGGTGCCTCTTATGCCTGAAATGGGCCCCTCTCAGGCCTCAAACGGGCCCTCTCTGGCCTCAAACGGGCCCTCTCTGGCCTCAAACGGGCCCTCTCTGGCCTCAAACGGGCCCTCTAGGGCATGAAATGGGCCCTTTCAAGCTTGAAATGGGCCCCCTCAGGCCTGAAATGGCCCCTCTCAGGCCTGAAATGACCCCTCTCAGGCCTGAAATGGCCCCTCTCAGGCCTGAAATGGGCCCCTCTCAGGCATGAAATGGGCCCTATCAGGCCTCAAACATGCCCTCTAGGGCCTGAAATGGACCACTTCAGGCCTGAAATGGGCCCTCACAGGCATCAAATGGGCCCTCTCAGGCCTGAAATGGGCCCCTCTCAAGCCTCAAACAGCCCCTCTAGGGCCTGAAATGGGCCCTCTCAAGCTTCAACTGGGCCCCTTCAGGCCTGAAATGGGCCCTCACAGACCTGAAATGGGCCCTCCCTCTCAGGCCTGAAGTGGCCCTCTCATGCCATGGAACGGGCCCTCCTAGGCCTTGGATGCACCCCCTTAAATCATAAAATGGGACTATAAATCCTAAAGGGGGGCTATCAGGCCTGAAAACTGTTTTTCAGTCCTATGACGGACCTTGACATTAGTGATTAAAAATTGTCAGGCTGCATAACGTTACAGTTCGAATCGACGGTGGGCCCCTAGGATAAGAGACGGGGGTGAGATCTCACCCCTTTCACCCCCCCTGGCTGCGCCACTGATGCCAACATCTGCAGCCTCACCTCAGTCTTTACACTGGCAGAAAATTGTGGCGTACGCTGCATTGCATACGCCTTGTAAGTCGAGAATCGCTACTACACATATCACCGTCAGAGTTCCATTGCGTTTGGCACTACACGAGTCACGAACTACTGGTACCGACACTACATGGATTCCGTGCTTTCAGGCAGGAACTTGAGCGAGTATTCATCACGACCAGTCCACCCACAAAAGTCACCGGTGCCGCTGGTCTCAAATTCGTGGAAGGCATGCTCTTGTTTGGAGGGTATTGGGGAGGCAGGTCGGGCCCTGACCGAGCAATCGCCGGCCGGATAAACCGTCTGCAACGCCATGAACAAATTTAGACTGGAATGAACAAACTCCGTATGTTATTTGTGATTGGGTTACACTGCCGTGCCCGTTTCCAAGGTTCCTCGTGTTTTATTTTTTTATACAGGTATTGATGATTCCTGTAGCATAGTTCAGTTCTGATTCATTGCAATGTTTGGTATCTCCGCACAGCAATCAGTCCGGATTTTTAGCTGCTTTGAATTCCGAATTCGTATCCATTCACTCTTATTTACCGCAACTGGCTGGAATATTTGTCGCGCCCTGCACGAATCCGTTCCTGTTCAAACTGAACTGTGCAGCGCGCCACTCCCCAACCTCAGCGATAGCACCCCCCCTCCCCCACCTCCGCCCTCTCCCCTCGCCATGGGTGCCCGATTTACCGGGTGGCAACAGCACGATAAGATTTGCCGTTTGATGGTTGGATCAAAACAGTCTGCGGTCGCCTAAGGTTGATAGGGCTATCGTCTGGGGACGTCGGGACTTAGGATGTTTGAGAAACAGTCTGCAGCGGGACCGAGGGTTTATGAATGCAATAGAGATTAGATGATTTATGGTAATTTATATGGTCTTTGTAATTTGTTTGGAGCAGAGTAGGGGAGAGTGGGGCAAAGCGGCCACCCTAACGTTTCTAACGATGCCGACGCTTGATTTTTAAACTTGGAAAGATTCTTTCTATACCAATGTGATCCCTATTAAATTGTCTTTTATTCCAACTGCGTTTCATTTCCAAAGGCGTTCACATATGGGAGATATTGACAAAACTTTAAACCTATAGCATATTGGCCACTTTGCCCCATCCCTGAGGCAAAGCGGCCACTGGCGACTTCTCAAGTCCCGATATGAGAAACAGAATAGTTGCCTCATGCACGACTAGGGTATTTGATGGTGACAAGGTTTAAGGGAAGATGGATGTTTACTTTGTTATCTTCCCACCTATTGCTAAACAAAGAAAGAATTTTCTTGGAAAACATTTAATTGCATTATTTGGTAACTCATGTAACCGAAAAGTGGCCAAGATGAATGCATGACGACACATTTGAATATAAATAATAGTGGTGCCAATTTCATGAAATTTCAATTCCAATTCCGATCCAATTCCAAGAAATTGCCAAGTAAATTTCCAATTTTGTCCAAAGCGGGGGCTATTCCAATTTTTAACGATTTTTGCATTTTTTTGCGTAAATTTTAAAAGTGTTTAAAAGCGTTTTAAAGGTCTCCGTTTTCAAATTTTAAATTTTAAAGGCCTTGTGTTCCGATTAATTTCCAAAAAATGTTAAGAATTCCGTCCAAATTCCAAATTGGAATTGGACAAAAATTGGAATTCCAAGAAAAGAAATTCCGATTGGCACCAATAATAAATAATGTTTTTATCCATATGGAAACAACTTATGGCCAATTGGGGGCTGGCCACTTTGCCCCGGCCGCTTTGCCCCGCGCATACCGTCCGAGACAAAAATATTCCAGCTCAGCTATTAGTGGGGTAAAAAGCATTAAAATTGGTAGAAGGCATGTACGATAACCACGCAATGCATGGACAAAAACACTTATAAGAATTCCAAACGGTTATGGAATAAAATAACTTTTAAAAATTGTAGACATAATTGGTAACCTGGCAAGAAATGCTTTTCCGTGTTTCACAGAACAATGGCGATGGGCCTGAAACCCCGGTCTGGCTCATTCGAACGACCGCAAAGAGAAGTATAATTGGAAATCATAAATTGGAACTGACGCCAGCTGTGGAGGGCTAAAACGATGGATGGCCGCTTTGCCCCGGGTGGCCGCTTTGCCCCACTCTCCCCTAAATATTTTATGTGACTTCATCGAACGCTGTACCCGTCTAGTGTCTACTCAGCGCTTGCTAGATGACAGCTGACACGCGGTAGGTGGGTCTCAAAACCTCCTCAGAGCAATAATAAGAAAGATTGGCTCCGTATAAGGATCCCTGAGATCGCAGAGATACCAATAAGAAAATCATTACTATAATTGGCTGATTAGGCTGTGTTATATAACAATGGGTCACGTTGTGGTCTGTGGAGTTATTATTTCCTACATGCAACAGCATAACACTCCTTGATTTACGACAGGAACTAGGACATCAAAAAGCATTGCTAGCTCCCGTCTTTTTTAGCTAACAAATGTCATCAGCCAGGTCACAGCGGACAGAATAAAGTCTACAGCGACAGCGTTTTCCGATATGGACGGAAGCTGTCACCGAATCCCCGGTGCTCACGGTGCATTAGCGTTCATTCCGACGTCTCCTGTGTCCTCCGGGGGTTTCCCGGATCGGGATTGGGACCGGATGCTACGGCGATGACCTGAGTCGGATGACACTGGTAGTCGACAGGTCGGTGCACTGTCTCCAAGCATTGAGTGGTTGGAGTTGAAGTTGAAGTTAAATGATAGTGAGCTGTAGTTAGACGAGGTGTATTCAATAAGTTCAGTGCTCACATCGAGCCGGACTAGGAAATGTGGTCAATTATGGCGTGAGGAAGCAGGTTCGGCAGCCCTGTGTTGGTCTAGCCTGTTCTTAAACATGTTTGTAGATGCAGCCTCCACTTGGCAGTCTATTCCAGTCCTTCACTTCTCTGTTCTACTCTGTTAGCTGGTAGCTATAGGTTGTATAGGTTGCTATAAGTTGTACGACTATAGGTTGTTACGAACATTGCCCAAGTGTCTGCACGAAACCTCTTCTCATTACGATCTCATCATTAGGATCTTCTCATTACGAACATCGGCTGACCAGCCACTGGAGGGGAAGGGGGAGAGGAAGGGACTGTGCTTTGTTCTTTGTTTTGTATGTCGAGCGAGGAGTTGCCGTCTACTGCTGGTCATCAATAGTCTGTTTCTGCTTCTGTCCGGCCTTTCTCTGCGGGCTAAACTTCTTCTATAGTTGGCTTTGCTGACGTTTTTCCGTTGAGTTTTTAGTCATTGACCAATGAGTTACATGTTTTGTAAATTTAAGCATCGATGCCTAAATGATAAAAAACTTTTGAAAGTCTTTACAGGCCTAGCTGCATAGCTGACGGATGCGCAGGCCGAAGACTTTTTGTTTCGATGTACTGTTTGTGCTTTACCTCTATTTCGAGTGTTGGTATGTGCCGTGTGTCTCATCGATAAGCCTGTTTTTAGTTCCATTAACGTTACGTCGGAAACAAAAGAAGACAAGTGGCTCAGGCATGCCGTTTATCGATGACTGAAGTTGGTCAGTGGTTTCCTGTTTCTGAAAAGAACTACTTGTCGATGTTTGAATACGATTCGAAGCCGATAAGGAATTGGAGGCACGCTTACAGTCATCAGTAAAATGAGATGACCACAGGCCACGTGTACGATATCGACAGAATATGCTCATCTCGGCATCTTCTTACATAGGGCATCACTTTTTTACCGGGGTACGTGATATCATTTAACACCTTTACACAATTTAGAGCCATGTTTTTAACGGGCATCATAAGGGCGTAAGTGCCGGGCGTTCCTTTGCTTTTACAATCAATTGTATAGTGAACTGGATACATTTACGCGTGCAGGTGCTTGCTCTCAGGGATCTCGAAGTGATCAATGCCTACAGAAAAGTGCCTTCATGAAAGTAAAGTCGACTTTCCAACTGGTTTCATACTGCTGGTGAATTGGTGTACGAACTATTGCACGGTGCCACTGTATGCGAATACCGTACTCTAGAACTCCCATCCTCTCGTAATAATCCCTCTGCAAACCACACACCCCTCGACACACATTCGGGGAGCAAATCCTGGCCCCATGCAGGTGAGGCGGCTCATCCACTCGCACACTGTCTTCTATCAGAGCTCACTATCTGGGACTGTGTCAATAGCTGCCGCACACTGGCTAAGAGGGATAAGGCTGAGCCCAGGTCGTGAGGCAGACGGACAGACGGACGGACAGATGGACAGACTCACATATTCTCAGACAGACAGACAAATGGATGGACGGATGAATGGACGGGCAGACGGGCGGAAAGACGGACAGAGGGACATATTTCCTTGACGAATATATGAATGAATGGGCATGAACCTTCAAATGGTCAGACAGACAGAAGGAGGGACTGATAAACGGACAGGCCAACCAAACGTAAGTTGGACAGACCTACATTCACCCAGGGAATGAGTCCTATAGTCACATGCGTCGATCAATATTTTAATTGCGTATTGATCTTAACTTGTCTCGTTAATATTGGAGAAGGCAACGTCTTTTCAATGTTTTTAAATGCACGAATATTATTTTACAGTTGATTGTGATTTCTCGTAAGCTCGTGCTGCGTGCGACAGCGATGCTTTAGACAAGGCACTAGACAGCCAAGGACGTTTCCGGGTCAGTAATATCCAGTGAATGGTACGGCAGATAGCCATGCGCTCGCTCCGTATCAGACAACTATGCTTCGATTGGAGCGGATCGGAGATAGGTGGAACACTTAGGAGGATTACTGAGGGCGATGAGATTCCTGAATTAGGTATCCGCCACGTGACCGAGGTCAAATTGTTTGATACCGAAAATTGTCAGCAATATATTTTTTACGTGAAGGCATTTCCACTGTCCAGTTTGTCGAGCATAAAATTGGCATTCGTTGGCATTACTCATCTACCAAACGTTTAGTTTCCAATTGAGGTCTTTTACCTTCCCACAGCTTTGCGATATTTATTTTTGTAAGTGCTAGTTTCGTGATGTCTCAACAAATAGCTACGCTGGATATTTTCTCATAGCATGCATTGCAAGAAGAAACGACTGCGCATGGGGGATTGAGGCGTCTTGTCCTACTTTTTGCCCCCTCCGTGCTGCGTGTTATCGTCTTGCGCTTATCCTAGTGTGTCCAAACACCACTACGTAATCCAATAGTGGCTGGCAATGATTGTTCATTGACTTTTCGTGCAGCAAAGTGTCCCTTTGTCGTCCATGTGCCCTGATAACGAGCACCGCCGCCCGTCAAGGCCATATCCGTCTGCAATGGCCGCTTAGTTACAACACGCGGGAACACCACACAAACCTATACCGAAGCTGTTGAAAACACAATCCATCTCCTACCTGTGACCCGTCACCGATTTCTCATTCAATCGGCAGCTTCCTCCCCGCCCTGCCCCCTAAGCGAGGGGCCGAGGAGGGGTAGAGGGGGGGGGGTCTGAGCTCGGTTGCCGCGGTGTCAGCCCGGGCACTGTGTACCTGAGCGTTATCGGAGACGGAGCCGCCGGTCTGGCGGCGTGTCACTGAGCAGAGCGGCGTCACACGGACCGGGGCAGACGGCGCCGACGGTAGACGCCAGTCCGCTGCCCAGGCCCGGTCAGACGGGTCACACGAGGTCAACAGAGGTCAACAGAGGTCAACAGAGGTCAGTGGAGGTCAGTGGAGGCCGGTGGAGGTCAGTGGAGGTTACAAGAGGCCAGTTGGACTTTGCAAGAGGTCCACCTGGTCGCACGACGTCAGTGCCAAGTCAGTGTTGGACAAGACATCCAAGGTGAAGGACAACTGAGGGGAAGCTGAAATGCACGACTGTGATAGAAACTCAGCGGAATAGAATCATCTGAGGTGAAAAACTCAGAAGAAACCCGGCTTGGGTGAGACGAACCGGGTCCACAATGCGGCAGAGGACGTCTGGCGACGGCTCGTCTCGCTCGCACGGTCTGAGAGTGTCGGGCCTCGGTGACCGGTGCTGTCATGACCGACCTGTGGTGGCCGGGCTCCACGGGTCAGTCGGCGCCGTGCCGGGGGCCCCTCGGCCCCGGCTGATACGACTGACCTGGCTCCTCCTGATGCTGTCCATGCTTTTCTCGCCAGCCTCGGCGGCGCGAAAGGTGAGTTTGGGGGGGGGGGGGGTGAAAAGGCGGGGGAGGGGTAAGGGTGGAGGAGAGGTGAAGCCTGAGGGGTGGACACCTCTGTCCAGCCTGGTTATTGGAATAGATTGATATTTGGTGATTCAACAAGCTGAACAGCATATCCTGAGGTATGCCTGTAAGTTCACCAAACCATGTGTGACCAATGTCAAATGTGTGGGCATCGATCGGCATTTCATTGGAATAATCAAGATAATTTCACTGAAGTTTAGGTCGTGGGTCAGTTATATCGTCTAGAAGCTCCGCTGATTAGTAAGTCGGGGACTTATTCACTTCCTCAGTGACCCTGTCCTGTTCACGTCTCTAGTCTGTTGGAAATGTCACAAATACCGATAAGCTGAATCCGTGTCGGGCCCTAATAAGGGTTAGAGTGTTACTTTTTTCATTTTATGTAGCTGAACGGTCAAATAAGGTCACATATTCACTACATAGACATACTTATTCAGGAATGGTCGCTGCGGTCAATGGGCTAGCATATAATTTGCTTTGTGTGAATCAGACAGTCAGTGTAATTTTTTGAACACGTAACATTTGTTAATCTCTGGAGGCCCAACGGCTATAGAAGCATCGCCGAACGATGTGGAATTTTTATCAAGAGTGCTCTAGGTACCCCAGGGGCTATATAAGTTAACGATTTCAAAGTCTGTCTCATGGGTCTCAAATCAGGCTTGTTCGGGACTGAATATGGATCTCGAAATAAAGACTCAAAACTTAGTATATGTCATTTTGTCTATTATGTCATGCGTTGTTGCTATTTTGTCAGTATTGCAGTGATTGATTCCAGAGCTGGGCAAGTGCGTTCCTTTAGTGCGTTCCTGCGTTCTTCCGTACGTACGCACCGCCCTTTTTAGGAACGCAAGAACGCAGGAACATAAAGTTTTTCAAAGGAACGCAAGTAAGAGGAACGCACCACCCGAAATTTTGAAGCGTTCCTGCGTTCTTGCGGAACCACCCGAAAAATTATACTGCTGCCAATGACCTCTGTGTCAAATGTTTGAATCTCGAGTACGTATGGTTGCCGGTAGAGGCGCCACTTGTCGGTCGAGTCGAGGAAGGCTTGCTTAGATTTAGTGGTGATGTTTACTATTCGATTCGGTTTTAGGCATTAAATGTGTAAAGATTTTTAGTGGTGATGTTTACTGTTCGATTCAGTTTCAGGCATTAAATGTGTAAAGTAAATATGATAACTTTTACTAAGATACATCTTTTAACTTAACTATTGTTTTTAAGCAGGTCGTATTTTTGTTGAAAACCCTACGGATGATATTGGTAAAACGTATTTCAGATATTCGATTCGGAAAAGAGATGTCGAGCTGCTTTTCGGCCCCACGTCGCCATTCTGGGTATTCTGTGATCGATTCGCCCCGTGTTTGGTTGGGCCCGCGCCGCGTGGTTCGGCGGTATTTTTGAGGGAGGAACGCAGGAACGCAGGAACGCTAACGCACCGAGCGAAAAAAAATGAGGAACGCTATTCCAGGAACGCACTAACCGCGGCCGGAGGAACGCAGGAACGCTAACGCACTACCGAAAATCGAGGAACGCGCCCAGCTCTGATTGATTCGGTCATCTCTGCACATCTCGTCTTTCGATTCGATCCTTTGGGCTGTATAAGGCACGTGTCTGACTGATGGCTGCTCCGTATCGGGGGAACTCTCCAGTCTCAAGGTCTCAGTACAGGGTACAGCTCACATTGCCACAGAAGCGTAGTCAGGGCATCGGGCATTATTGTTAGTCTGAACTCTGAGCCAGAACGGTATTTAGATTTCATCCCATCACGGGTTGCAAGGGAAAATTATCAAAATTTAAAAATTTATCGTGTGATCTCTGAATGTACAATTCCTTGCAAGTCTGTGAATGTGCTGTACCTAAGGGGCCGCAGCTCCTATGCCCCCCGAACTTCGGCCGCAAATACATCGCAACCAAGCGAAAGGAAAGTCGGTTCTGATTTTGATTTGCATACGCTCATCTAGGTGCACCCCCCCCCCCCCCTAAGGTTTTTCGCTAATGGCGTAAAAACGGCGGCGCGTAGTACCCCCCCCCCCCCCTCCGTCTGCGTTATGGAAAAGGCCCTCGCCGGCCTATGGGGGGGGGGGCCTTATAGGGTTTCTTAGTGATGGCTCGGAACACGCTGGCAATTGAGAGCTGAAACTTGGCGTGCCTGACCTTTGAGTCTTTTGAAACCAACCACATTTTCAGGTCAGGTCAGGTCACTGACCTATGGCGTCGTGAGTTTCTTTCCCGAAATACCGCAACTTCGCAACGCCTTCAGTGCCATTAACCCGCGCCCTGCTGGGGGGGGTGTTTGAACACCCCCCCCCTTGTGGTTTTTCGCGAATATCTCAAAAACGGCGGCGCGGAGCGCCGCCGTTTTTGGTACACCTTATCATACATCAATTCTACACATGTTGTGAAAATTTCAGACCAAGGTCATTCAAGGTCAGGTCACCAGGTCACTTGAAGTGACCTCACCTCATAAAAACTTTCAATGTCTGTCATAGCTACACCGAGTGACCGATCGCTTTGAAACTTTCAGCGATTGCTAAGAGCAATAGCATGTACAAAATGTATATCTCAGAATTTTGATATCGATGACCTAAGGTCAGGTCAATTTTGCGACCTCCCCATTATAAGTCAATGGGAGAAAATTGAAATGCGCGTCTTTTGGATGAAAGACATTATAAACACTCCCAACCACCGAATTACAAGTGGTTTAGACACACTGAACATGAAAATGGTGTCCGTGACCCTTGTTTATGCCCTGAGGTCATCTTAGGTCACGAATGGTATCTAACAGTTTTTCGCAAATAACTTTTGATAGAGGCATGCTAGAGCGATGAAAACGCCTTAGATGTGTTCAGCTCGACGATACGGATCGACTGATATGCAACATGACCCTTTCCGGTCAGGTCATGACCTTGACCTGAGGTCAAATTTTCAAGTTGACCTTTCAAGGTCAAGTTATAGTTCATTCGATGCGTCTTGACGAGAGGAACACGATGCCGGTTAAAGTAAGCTCGTACAAGGCTTGGGTCAAAAGTTATTGCAGAAAAACTGTTTTCAAACAAATCGGCTATTTTTGCAGTTTTTGCCCCCTGCAGGCAAAACCGTTGACGTTAGGTCAAATCTGAGAGAATTACTCAGAAAGGGCGTTAATAGGGCTATCGAATGCGCTTTTCCGCGGCGCTGTAGCTCTATTGGTTCCCGAGTTATGCGTTGGCTTCTTGGAAATTTTCGACATTCGACCTAGAAATCGACGAAATTTTGCCTTCAATGAACTCTGGTGACCTGACCTTTGACCTGACCAAAAAATTGACCGAAGTGATTTCGTCATTATTTTTGACGCTCTTTCGAACGCCGCCTTCCGCGTATCGCTACGTAGCCCAGGAGCCGAGTTACAAGGGGGGGGGTGTTCAAACCCCCCCCCCCCCAGCAGGGCGTGGAAATCCAGGACCCCCAGCCGGGCGCGGGTTAATAGGCGAAGTCATATCCCTCCCATCTTCCCAAGGCACTTCTTCGCAATCGAATCGCACATTCCTTGTTAGTGAAACCTGCCTCTTTTAAAGCGACAAGCCTACCTTTGTCGATATCTGTGAGGTGGTAAGACATGATTTCAGACCTCCAGTATAGCTGCGCTACGCACTCAGTTAGCTGCACCGTCTCTGGACACTAACTTCGTAAGGAGAGGTAACTTTTGGCGCCGAGAATGATCTTAAACTATCTAAAGTACACGGAATCGTGATTTCATGCAGTGCACTCCTCGCAAGGTCTGATGCTTCGCTCTTGCATTGTTGACCCTGCGTGACGTCATTTGTCAGTAACGTCATCTGAGTTTTTTGTTAATCTCCCGATCAAATTGAGCTACTTAGTGAGTCAAGAAAGCTATCAATGAACTCTAGGAGACCTGCCAATTCGTATTATATGCAATACCAATGATTTCCTTTGACCAGCTTGATGACCTGAGGGGCTCTGACCTGACCTTGACCCGAGGACCTCACCCGAGAAAAAAGTATACCATTTGACGTGCCTGAGCTAGACAAACACGATGCTGCCAAAATCGCGGCTCTGCGACTATTTTTGGCGATGTTATCTACCAAAAACCAAGTCTGTGCCTTGGGCCACGTGGCTTGACCTCTGAGGTCACCGGCTGACCTGAGACATTAAAATCGGCTACCAATCGCTGCGTCTCGGAACTGGTGCTCACACTCATTTATTTCGCGAGTCTCTAGCTAATTAGGTGCGATGCGGCGAGGGGGGGGGGTCGCACCACCACCCCCTTGGCCGCGGGGCGTACCTACACGTATGTAGAAAACCAATACCTAGGTCAGGCGAGGCGAGGATTAAACTACACTGTGGGCCTTGCCTGAAATTATTTTTTGAGAATAACCTCTGAAGAAAGTTGACGAGGCCAGGGCAATAGCTAAGCGATGAGTTTTAACGCATTGTGCCCTTCATGTGTTACGTACTGACGGTCGTAGCTTGCCGTGATCCAAAATCCACAACCCATTACCCAGGACTCGTGAGCCCGGCCCGTGACCTGATGCTGTGATACAAGAAAAAAATAGCACCCCAATCGCCATCCTCCTCAAGATACGGAACCGATGACCTACGACCCACGCCTCGTGACCTACGATCCGTCACCCAAACACCCGTGTTCCGATACTCATGATGCATAACATCTTTTCTTTTAACCCATAGCTTAGGACCGTCCATGCCCAATAAAGGTAACACTTACCACCATTCTCTCTGACAGGTGCGCAGTCATCACGGACAGTCATGCGTCGGCGCGTGCGAGCCCGGCAGCCCGGGCATCAAAGGTCTTCCGGGCATGACGGGCCTGCAGGGCACCCCGGGAGACACTGGGCCGATGGGCCTGCCGGGTCGCCGCGGACCCCTGGGTGATCGTGGCCAGGAGGGTGACCCAGGAGAACGTGGCTATCGCGGTGACATGGGCGCGCCTGGATTCTCGGGAGCTCCAGGAATACCGGTTAGTGGCGAATGTAGACGAGGAAAGGAAGTTTTCATCGGTTTTGTTGAAAGATTGTGTGAACTGCGTGGATATTTGTGTTTTATTAGAAATAAATACGAACCTTCATCATACCTACATTTCATTTTTACTGTAGTTTCGCTTCAACGATGGTATTACCGTAAGGCTTAGGTCGAAATAATCGCGTAATCTTTAAATGATTTCACGATAGGCAGGTCTGCTGAGTCCCCAGCTGTCCCGCAGGGCTTCAATGGCGAACCAGGGCAACGGGGCCCACCGGGCCCGGACGGCTGCTGCTGCCACCCTGCCGGGCACTCGGGAGGGCCGCCGGCCCTGCCGGACTGCTGCCACCATGCCGGCCACTCGGGCGGGTCGCCGGGCCCGCGCGGCCCGCCCGGGCCCCGCGGAGCTCCAGGTCAGTTCGCAGGGGCGGCGTCAGATCCGGTGGAGAGGGGGCTACGCTGGTATGAGGCCATTGCGAGTGCACTGTGGAGGGCCGAACACCGTTCCGCCTTTTTCATCACCAGGGCAGTCAAATCCTCATCCACGCCTCAACCTCCTGCTCTGGGCTGGACGGGCAACTTTACCCTATGCGGGAAGCTCCCATAGGAACAGGCCCGTAGCCGGGTGAAGGCAGGGATCGCCACGTCATGTTGTGGATCGCTCCTTATCGTAAATTCACACAAATACACACAAAATGCTTTCAGAGTGGGCTGAGCGGCCTGTCCTAGGGGGCGGGCTCAGCCCAGATGACTCACTATATGGTGCCCACCCAGACTAATGTTTCCCCCTAATTCCTATCATCCTTCCGGCTCTGAAATTGTCTCGTCAGACTGGAAGGTCCTAACCCCGGAGCGAAAAAAAGAACTGTAGATGGAGCGGGGCGCTGTGTGTTTCCGATGTGTTCCTGCAGGGACGGAGACGGGTCACTATGTCCCCTCCGTTCCACTATGTCACTATGTCGACCGTTCGCCGCGAGGTGTACAGTAGGTCTATTAAAAAAGTCCCCAGCACCAGTGGGCGCTGCCTTCGCTGAGCCGAACCCCCGTCTGCCCGTCCCATATCGCGCCGGGCTCAGGTCAGGTAGGGTCAGCGGGACCGCTCGGTCCGGCCCGCGGGCGGTGGACGGGCGACCGGTAACGCTTTCCGCCAGCCAGCTGTAGAATCCAACAAACGGGACGGCCACCGCTCAGCGCAGCGAAACCGGTGTTAATCAATGGCAGTAGATGTTCATGGCCACAATGATTATGAGATAGTCATTGTTAGCCCGTGCCCCACAGGAATGCCTAGACTCTCAAGCCCTGTTGGAGTGGAAATGGGGATTAAGCATCATTCTTATAACTCAGCTTTGGGCATTTAAGTGGTATTCGAAGTAGCGTCAAAAGTAGCAAAAAGAAGAAAAGATACTTCAGCCAATTTTAGATCGGGTCAGAGCAAAAGATCACGTCACCAGAGGTCATCGATGATAAAATTTTGCTTGGACAGGGTGCGTTGCGGTTTCCAATTTCCATGGATGCATCAACAGACTCGGAAGCTCGTAACGCTAGCGTGGAGCCGAATTCATATCAACCGCCGCAACAATGCATGGCAGCGCAGCGCAGCGTGCTGCAGCGCGGGGCCGTGAAACACCGCCCACAGCTATCCATGTGTCAGGGCAATCGAACTCACGTGATGGGCTCGGCCCCAGCGGAGCATGAGGCCCAGGACTCCCGCCCAGGCCCCCTGTCTCCCCCTAATTCCTGTCATCCTTCCCACTCTGAAATTGACCGAAAGAGCCTAACCTAACACAACAAGCAGCTCGTTTACCGCTATGTCTGAATAATATTGTCAGATTTAATTAAGGTCAACGGCTAAGCACGTAAATAACAGCAACTGCCATCATCGGTATTATGAGAAAACCAATTGCTTTTCCACAAACACTAAAAGTTTTAAGCTAAACTTGCATGAAATTAATTTTACCAGCCTCATGTTCCTCTTATCAAAACGCTTCGAATGAATCAAAAGTTGATCTTTAAAGGTCATTTGAAGAATTTGGCCGATGTTCAAAGACATGACCTGACCAGAAATGGTCATGATGCATAGCAGGATATTAGATCTGTATCGTGGAACTTTACAAACACTTTAGATGATTTCATAACTTAAGCATGTCTATCAAAAATATTTATTACATGGCTCAGGTGTAAGCTAGGTGTGTGATCATGCTTACGAGTATGTTGAACGCAACTGATAATGTTCTGTTGGCCACAATTTCTATATTTGATCTATCCTCCCGGATTTCATATCTTTATTAATGACACCTTGATGATGTCGAGAAAAAAAAAAACGCTTAGGAGATTTAACAGCCTGAGATACATTCAGTATAAGGAAGGGTCAAGGGTGCTAGATTGCTTCCGTCCTCGCTATCCTCAGGAAAAACCAATCCGCATCGCCCCTAGCCTTCATGTTTACCCCTCTGGACTGAAGGTCACCCCACCAGCCAACCTGTAGTTGATGTCGGTTCCATTCCAGGACACATAATCCTCTTCGGGTGACCGTTGGGGAGACGACTGGAACGCCCCGACAGGGCAATCGTCCCACGGGAACAGTCACGCTTCCGCAGATCACTGTCGCTGGCTCGCACAACCAAATTACTACACCAGAACATAGTTATGTCATAGCTCTGCAAGGGCCTTCTCAGACCGAAAAAGATGGCTCCCTACAAAACAAACAATTTTCTCATTCAGTATTGTATCTCATCAGGCATCACATGTTTTCAGACTTCAGAGTGTGTCTTATGCGTTCCGTCAAAAAAAAAAGCGCAGTTCAACTTTCTCCCATTGACTTTAGCGATCTCAAAATTGACCAGACCTTTCTGTCAGCAATGTCAAACTTGCAAAGTAAACGTTTCAAATACATATACTGTTGCCCATTGAAATCGCTGAAGGTTCTAAAGTGATCGGTTAGTCGATGCATTTAGATATGATGAGCACAGGAACTTTCCTTGAGGTAAGGTCACTTGACGTGACCTGGTGTTATGACCTTCAATTGAAAGACTTGGGCGGAAACAAATGGGTCATTTGAAATCTTAAAATGCTAGATTTTAACAATAATTGCGAACACTATCACGGCCAAATAGTGAGTGAGAAGGGAGTGATTCCCCAACCCCATGTTTAGCTCCTATAATTGAGCTAACTGCTAGAGCCTCGCGGAAAAAACGAGCGCTTGCGTCGTTACATGACACAGCGACTGTTACCCCATTTTAAAATATCAGTGACCTCTTAGGGCAGGTCAAGGGCCCCACGGCATTGGATCGGTTTTTGGTGAAAAACTTCGCAAAAAATGTTCGCATTATCGTCATTTCGATACAATCGTGTTTTCTGTTCTCAGACGCGTCGATTAATATGCTTTTTTGCTTAGGTGAAGCAATTTAGGATGTTTAGGTCAATGTCATGTTAGGGCAACACAGGTCACGAAGCTGTTGAAAGGAGGACATATTGCATAACATTTGATTCGGCAAGTCTTGCAGAGTCCATTGATGGCTGTCCCGACTGGCTAGCTCATTTTCCTCGGGAGTTATTGACGAAGCCCTCCTATTGACGAGCACTCCGTCACGCAAGGTGAGCAATGCAAAAGTGAAGCATTAACCCTCGCCGGACCTATTGGTTTCTACATACGCGCCGGCCGAGGGGGGGGGGCGGGTACGACCCCTCGCCGTTTCGCCCCTAGTGGAGCTAGCGCGCCGCGGAAAAAACGAGCGTGTGCGCCGTTACGAGACGCAGAGATTGATACCCGATTTTAAGGTCCTAGGTCAACCGGTGACCTCTGAGGTCAGGTCAAGTGCCCCAAGGTACGGTTCAGTTTTTGGTGAATAACTTCGCAAAAAACGGCCGCAGAGCGCCGATTTTGGCAGCATCGTGTTCGCCTTGCTCATGCGCGTCGAATGATATACTTTTTGTTCGGGTCAGGTCAACTTGGGGTGTTGACCTCAGGTCAAGGTCAGGTCAGCACCCCCAGGTCACGAAGCTGGTTGAAAGAGGTCATGTCGCATATCATTCGATTCGGCAGGTCTTCCTGAGTCCACTGGTGGCTTTCCCGACTCGCTAGCTCAATTTGATCAAGAGTTATTGACGAAAAACTAATATGACCTTGATGACGTCATAAATGACGTCACACAAGGTCAACATTGCAAAAGTGACGCATCTAACCTTGCAAGGAGTGCATCAAATCACGATTCTGTGTGCTTGAGATAGTTGGAGATCGTTCCCGGCGCCAGAATAGTAGTTTTCATTTTTCCCCATTGACTTATAATGGTGAGGTCACGAAAATGACCTGACCTCATATGACCTTTAGGAAAAATCCGAGATATAAAAGTAGTGAGACTCATAATGGATACTAGATCCTGCAAGCTTCATTTCCTTGTGACATCTCCTCTGGCAGTGAGGGCGTTGCGAAGTTGCGACATCTGAAGACCGTGCAGAGGTTCACTTATGACGTCATAGGTCAGTGACCTGACCAGATTAAAAAATGCGGTTGGTGTCAAAAGATCCGGCTTGAAATAAAGGTCAGGTATGCCAAGTTTCAGCTCTCTATCGCCAGCGTGTTCGGAGCTATCGCGACAAAAACCCTATGGGGGGATGGCACCCGCCCCCCCCCCCCCCCTCGGCCGGCGAGGGTTAAACCTTGCCAAGAATGTATGAAGTCACGAGTTCATGTGCTTGAGGTATAGTTTTAGGTCATCATTACGGATTTGCATCATTTTACAACCGACGACCGTGCAGTCTGCAGAGGTTTACTTAACCCTCGCCGGCACAGGGGGGGAGGGGTTGATGCAACCCCCCCCCCATAAGGTTTTTCGCGAATAACTCGCGTAAAAAGCGGCCCATCGCGACGAAACTTTCAGTACCCTCGCATTGATCAATTTTACACGTTCCCTGAAAATTTCATGACCCTGACCCCAATGACCTTTGACCTGTGACCTCTTTTCCGTGACCATGTTTGGCCGAAATCGCGATTCGGCGTATGTCGGCTCGCATTAGCCGCGCGTTTGCAAGCTTTTCGTGGTTTCAAACGTTCAAACATGTGATTTGATGTTGCTCCCATACATTAGGGTGGGTGTCAAGGTCACCTGAAGGTCAGGTCAGGTAAATAACCTTTGGTGAACTCGGTTCACTTTTTCGAGTTCTACATGTTTCGAGGCTAGTTTTTGGAGCTGGATTCGAATTTAGCAACCATTTGAACATTTACGAAGCAGTTTTGGTAATTTCATAACACGTTACGAAGCTGTAAGAGGCGGTTGACACATATTACGAATACCCGTCACAACCCCTACCGGTTGACCTGACCTGACCTGACCCGACCTGGTCTAAATGCTTAAAAACATAATTTCTGATCAAAACTAACACGATATTCGTGATCAGCACCCCGGAAAACCACATAGCAGCCACACTTTACGACTTTCTAGCAGGTCCCGATTTTCCCGGTTTTCGGGTCATTGACCTGACCTGGAAGGTCACCCGATGACCTAGGACCTTAAAATTGGGTATCATCGGCTTCCTCTCGTGACGTGCAGCACGCTCGTTTTTTCCGCGAAGCTCTAGCTCGATCAGGGGCCAAACGCGAGGGGGGGTCGTACCAACCCCCCCCCCCCTTGTGCCGTCGAAGGACGCAAAATGGCCTGTGCCGGCGAGGGTTAAGACGTCATAGTTAAGTGACCTGACATGAAAACGTGGTTGATTTCAAATGATCCGGCTTGAATCAAACATAAGGCATATGAAATGTCAGCCTTCTATCATCAGTGTGCTTTGAGCTCCCACAAAAAAAAAAAAAATACATGGTGGCGGCATCCACCCCTTTTTCTCGGCCGGAGAGGGTTAAACCTCGCTTCGAATTATTGCAGATAATGATGCGACCGAAAACAAAGTATTTATCTGTGTCTAGAACGGCCGCTGACTTGTTGGACAAGATCCCCAATCCTAATTTGCTAGATGGGAATAAAATACTCGGCATAAATTATGATACATATATACCCCTCGATTTGCCCTCGCGCTAAGTCAATTCTATTCATCACTGTCGCTTTTTTATCCGAGATGATGTCGCCGCTAAACGGGTTGTTTTGTTTGCTTGCTTGCGTTGAATGGTCATTACGGATTATTGAAGGATTATGATATACATAATAGGAATGGGGCAAGGGAGGATATGCACTGCAGTGCAGGTGTTTAATTTAGATCACAAAGGCATCATTTCCGGCATCGTGCAGTCACTATCTTCCCCTCCTCTGCACTGCGGCATCGCTGCGCCCCACACGCGGCGTCCTCACTCCACGGCCGGCCGCCGCCAACTGACCCTTTCGCCGGGCGCCGCGACCTGACCCGTGTCACTGCCGCGGCCTGCGCAATAGAGTCGGGGCTGGAATCCGGGGGTTCGGCCGGCCGGCCGCCTCTGGAGCGGGGGACTTTTTTAGTAGACCTACTGTACATATGACATGTTAATAATCAATTATCCAGGTCTGAGTGGGCCGAGACCGTCATGGCCAGGGCGGCAAATGGTCAGAGGGCGGTGCAGAAAGCCGAGCGATGTGAATAATTGCATTGATGGTTACATATGCCCTGCGTTCGGCATCTGGAAAATGAGGGATAGTTATCCGGGATCACCGGTAGGTATTTGGTATTGCGGGACTATCGATGCAATTAGTCGAATTTTTAGATCGCGTTTGCTTCACAAATGACTCTTTTACTCGTTGTCATGTGCCGACTGCCGTTGTGCAAGGTGTCACCTTAAAACACCGAATGATCCCGGTGATCCCGGAAAATTATCCCAATTTTCCAGATGCCGAAAACACGCATGGTCTCCGGTAAAGGTAGCTTGGAACATGGGGTAGTTAGATCAACAAGCAAGGGCGGCGCAGGACCAAAGGTGTGTACTCGAGTGACCAGTCTCTCCTAGCCTTTAATTAAGCTCTGCCTGCCTGAGTCTTGGGAGTCTGGCCAGGGGTCTGGACTGGCTGTAACCGCTGACATGTGCGCTCCCCTCAGGTTTTGACGGTCTGAAGGGCCGCCCCGGTGACCCAGGGGACGGTGGCTACACCTCAGTGGGCATCAAAGGAGAACCGGGCTCTGACGGCCGCGACGGTCTGCCGGTCAGTGGCCGCAGGCGGCGCGCCTGCAGAGGTGCTCTTTGCCTATCTTATCTACCTACAGTAGGTTACTAATGAAGGACGATCATCTGATGCATTTGCCCGGGAGTGATTAACCGTTTTAGAGACCATGTCGACACATTCGCAATGTGCACCATTTTTCAGCATGTCTCGGGTATGTAG